AAAAAAAAAAAAAAAAAAAAAAATGGGTGATAGACCGTTCAGGCATTTGATTGTGGAGAAGAAGCATTTTTAAGCACCATCTAAAGATAAATTAAAATAGGCTGTAATAGTGCTGAAGAGGACACTATGGATATTTCTTAACAGTTTTCGTAGTCTTAGTCTCCCTGCTGTTCTGTTGCTGTTTTCTGTCTGTTTCTGTCTTCCTGTCTTTCTCAGTCTCTCTCTCTGTCTCTACTCGTATGTACACCATCATCCACATGTGAGTACAGAGTTATGTGTATGTACATGCGTTGGAAAGACGGAGAGAAATGGAAAGAACTGGATAGATTTGAGTCTTATTCAAGAGTAAAACTAATGGGTTTTTTTCTCATGGGTTCATTGGTATGAATGATAATCGGGGGTTGTTAAGGGCGATTCCTAAGCGTTGACTTAATTGGCTAAATTTGTGTTAGTGTCATTTGCTGACACAGAAAACTCAGAAAAGAGCAAATAAAAAGGAAAATGTTAATTTAGTCTTAAATTAAGTATGTTGAATTTGAGGTACCTTTAAAACATTCAAAGGAAGTTAGTTGAAGCTGGGAGGCCTGAAGATGAATGGTAGTTGAAACTGTGAAAATGAATGACGTTACTGCGCCTTGGAGTATAAATCAATGCTTGCTTTTGGAGAATGAAACTGTAAAAACAAGTTAAAATCAGAACAGTGTCAGTTCCCAGAAGCAGATGGCATTATAAGAAAGGAGTGGCCAGTGGAGATTATGAGGAAAAGTAAAATGGAAATTGAAAACATATCCATTGGGTTTAATGACAGAAGGGGATCATCAGTGAGTGATCTTTGCAAGAATTGTATTTTCTTAATCCATAGCCCTCATACTTCACCCAGAAATTCTTTGATACCTCCTCATACTAAAAGTCTGTACTCTATCACTTGATATTCAACTTTTTTATGATTTCACTGAAACTTAATCTTAAAACCGTGTATCTCCCAGCTTTTGAATACCTGAAGCACAGTGAAATAGACTGACTCATCATTTTTTAAATTAATTAATTTTATTGGTATATTTTAGGTATACAATATAATGACATTCATCATTGAGAATTTGTACCCCTCCACTCCTCCCTATTGACAAAGACTTTGTTTCCATTTTCTTATATTAATTCCATTCCCTTCTTTCCTTCCCCCTCCCCTCCCACTTTCCTTTCCCCTTTGCCCCTTTTCTTACTATTTCACTTTATCTATTATACCTTTTAGTCCTTATTTTCACTTGCAGTTTCTCACACCAGAAAAACTATTCAGTATTTACACGTGTGTCCTATTTATTTCATTTAAGAGTACTGCCTCAATATACATCCATTTAGCTAGAAATGTCTTTCATTTCTTGTTCTTCATTTTAGTAATCCTGGTACTACTACTTCATTTCTAGTACTTCATGTTATGAAAAAAAAATTTCTTTATCCAGTCTCCAGTTAATGAACATTTGGGCTGTTTCCAAGGTTTAGTTACTACAAACTGTGCTGCTAGAAACATGGGTGATCATATATCACTGTGGTGTCATTCTTCTATTCTTTTGGGAAAATAAGCAACAGGAATAGGTGGGTCAGACTCATCATCCCTTAATAGTTGTCTTCCTGTTGTCTTTGTTCTTTATGCTTTTTCCTTCACCAGTACTGACCTTTAGGGCCCAGGCCAAACTGTTCCCTGTTGGTTTCTCACTGCCCACTCATTGGGATCTTCACTCTGAA